ATTGAACAGCTAAACTTGCACTAATCCATTTGTGATGTGGATGGGTATAACCGCATAAATAATGAATAAAGCAGTTTCAAGTCGCGATAATATTATTGATAGACCAAACAGAAGACTTCATGTCAGAAATAAAGACTCACCCAAATGCTATGGACCCATTCATGGATGAGGTATGAAGGTTTCCAGTCACTTCATCAAGTTTGATGTAATCTCTAACAAAATATCCCTCTGTTTTGCTCCCATCTCCATAAGTAACAACATAGTCACAGGATGCTCCCACCTTGCAACCTGAATATGGACCATTAAACATAGCGGAGCAAAAATCTTGATCACAAGTAACTGCCTTTCCAGTTGAGGAGGTCTGCAAGTCATACTGCTTCAAAGCTATCTGTCACACAAAATAAAAATAAGCGACTTCTTCCAAATTTAGGGTTCCAACTCTAAATCTTGTTATACATAGGTTACATCCAAATGAGAAACGGAAGAAATGACATACTTTCAGGTTGCTTTTCGTAGGACACTTATCACAGCCAGCACAATTCACCCATAGAATGTCACTTCCTGTATCGACCTGGACGTGATAGTCATTTGAAGGACTACCAATTGAAAGTTTAGTGTAATAGAGCCTGCATAAATTAATCATATAGCCAATTGAGAACGATAGTGTCATTTTAACTTATCCGTAATATTCTACCCTGTTAGAGGTATTGAGGCTCAACTTTAACTTGTTAGTTATATTTTGCCTTGTCATTGGTATGTTGCAAAATCAAATTCTTGTAGCTCAACATGGTCAAGGCAAGTTAGTTGCAGAATCAGTCTTTAAAAACTAAGTAACACTGGTGCAACTTTACATCACCTCTCCAATGAGCCATGTAGCAGCCAAACTAACTTAAAACCACTATTAAAAAATTTACTTACACTAAATACCATTGGCACTGGAAAGAAATGGAAATAGATACATGCATATATGCAAATTCTCATGAAGGCAAAAGTACATACAAATACATGCAAAATGCAAATTTGCTTTTGTTGTTCAATTTGATGTAGTCCAGTTAAGATTCAGAGGAGAGTAAATCTACATAGAGAGAATTGGAAGTCCATGGATCATGTGTAGCCACTTGTACCAAAACAATTTGTTCTCAGTCCAATTTTTGTCTTCGTAAGTTTACTAGTTGCTGATTTTGTTGTTTTAGTTTAGTTAACCCAGAAGGGTATTGGGCAAAAGTATAATACCAAGATTCGGCTTGGAGTTATGAGAGGTCTTCCCAAAAAGTTCAAAGCCTTGGTCCTCTCCTGTACTATGGAATGATAACAACTTTGCCCCAAATGTCAGGCTCCACTTGATTTTGATAGTCACCTTCTCCATTTTATATGACTAGTGAAAGTGTGACCAAATATTTTCGTTTCCGATTAGACACTGATGTGCGGCTTTATTCTATTCAAAAACGTCATTAGTCAGCATTGAGGCTAAGAAGTGCACAGAAATTTCCAAATCTTGATTCATATATGATGTGATGCATCATTCTCTTGGGGACGGCACATAAGACTTCAACAACCATATGAAGTCCCAACGGACGGGTAGCTAAATGGCCACAGTCAACCTCAGCTTTTCTATTTACTAACTTTGAAAGCCTTCTCAATTCCTAACCTTGGATCAACCTAATAAGTCTTCTCATTCCATTCCATATTTCTCCATGAAACCTCATATTGTCCCACCGGAGATAGTGAATAAGTCCTGACTCTCAACCCATCTTGCACCGTAGTATAAGTGAACTTCAAAAACTTCTATAATTTTGAGCAAAATTTGATAGGTATGATATAGTATACTTGCACTAAATTGGAGCCCAGAAAGTGGGGGACCAGGCTAGGAAAAATAAATCCCGTCCCATAATCCCATGAAAAAGTCTAATACATTAAAATAGAAACGACGAAATGAAGCACAAATATCAAAACTTTCACATTCTCTCTTGTTTTACATGCCAAGTAATGCTATTTACCATCGTCATGATGGAACATAGGTGATGTAGCAACCCATTATCCCTCACATTTCTCTCTTAAGACCATGTCTCCTACCCCTCTCCCTCATAACAATTGAATTGCCCAATCCCATTATTTCATATAGACCGCCACATCACCGATGTTCTATCATCATAATTATAAATAGCATTATTCTAGTATGCCTCATGTGTCACATCCAAGCAGGAGAAGTAAGAAACTATAATACATATGTATATATATATATAAATACATATATACATACATACATACATACATACATACATATGTATGTATGTGTATATGTATATATATATATATTTAATAACCAAACTCGAGACAAGAAAAGAAGAATAAAGACAAAAATATTCTTCCTTGATGTTAATGAGCTGGATTTGAACAAACATGTAAGGCCAACTAATTAGTTCACAGCATTAATCAGGATAATACAGCTCATCAAGCCGGCCTTTGGATTGCAAATTCAGAAATAATTCCAAGTTTCCAACCAAATTTAAATAACCTTTTTCACGAAATTCAAAATCAGTCAAAGGTAAATTCTCAAATATAAAATGAAATCCAATACATACGCGGCGTCGGTGGGCTGGCCGTTGCCGCCTAGCTGCAAATCAACCGCACCCAGCATTCTGCCGTGCCGGAAAGAATCATGGGCTCGAAATGCACTAAGAGCCGATCTCCCCAGCACACGCCCTCTGAATTTGTGTTGAACTTTAAACACAACATTCCCCTTCACCAAGCAAATTAATTGAGCCGAAAACAGCAACAAAAGCAAAAGTAAACACCTTCGCAGATCCATCATCGCCACATTCAAATAAACAATGGACAAGTCCTCGAAACAACTTACTGAATTTTTGAACGACTAAAAAGTAACAATGCCCAGAAAAAAAAAAAAAAAAAACCTCTAAAATTGTATAATTTATAATCTGTGGGCCTTTGGAAAGAATGACAAGAGCCAAGAGGTGAACTTGGAAGGGTCCGTAAGATTAAGAAAGAGGGCAAAAGACAGTTTAGTTGAAAACAATGGTACAGAAAAATTAACGGAAAAAGGACAAGGACAATGGTAGCTAAAATTATAGATTATAAACCTTACGACTCATAATTTAGGTTGATTCTTGGAAACATCTTTCTCCGTGTGGGGTTGAGGTGTTGTGTCTGAAAAGGAGTGTGTTTATGTTTGTTTTCCGCGTCCGAAAAGGAAGAAAAGAGAAGGTTTTGTACAATTCATGTACGTCACGATTTGTTCTCTGTATCTATCCATTTATCTACGTCTCTCTTTGAATAGAAGATTAAGATATACATGCACAAGTTGACACAGGTTGTTTTTCGTAAAAGAATTCTGTGATTTAAGTGAAATTCACACAAATCCTTCTCAACCTATAAACCTATGTTTGACCCCATTTAAAAATAAATAAATTAAAAAAAATTCATTTTTCTAATATTATATTTCAACCTAATATTTGTTCATAAAATAATTTTACATGTAAAAATCATTTTTTTATAATTACACATTTTCCAAAAAATCACTATTTCAAAATATATTTTCTTATCAAAACGAGGGTCAAAGAGGGGCTAAATATATTGTGAATCTTGTCTTGGTTCTTTTTTCTTTTGTTGATAGCACCCTTCTCAACCCAAGTTTTCGAGTGACGATAGTCCCTTACAATTAGATTCAATCTATTTGAACATTTCTTATCGAAAAGACTACAATATTCATAATAATAAATTCCCTCGTGCTACTTGAAACAATTGTCGAAAGATTCCACGTTGAACTTCACTTTAATTTTCGTTAAAAGTAATTTATGATAATAATCTTTGTAGTTCTTAACTTAGCCTCTATTTGATAATCATTCGTTCGAGCCTCTCTTTTAATCATAATCATTCTTGACCAAATATTTTCACAATAAAATATTTTTCACGAAAAACCCAATTATTTTCTCTACCTTTTACCTAAATATTTTCCAAAAAATTACTATTCAAAAACTCATTCGTAAAAAAAAGAGGGGGGAGGGGGGGGGGGGGGGGGGGGGGGGGGGGGGGGGGATGAAGATGGCTGTCAAGGGCTTGTAATGTTTGCCCACAGCTGGTGTTTAAGCTAAGAAATTAACTTTTTAATTCCATTTCTGAGAGAATATTGATGGGGCCAAACAAGGATAAATTTTGAAGAAATGCAGTATATTTCTCCTGACGAATTTTATGTTTCGAACTCATTATCTAAAAATAAAAAACAAAAATACATTGTCCACCAAACTAATTCCCTCGTGCAACCATATGGTGTAACATACTGAAATGCAACAACCAGAACCATATACAAATCAACTCAAGCACAACAATTTGATGGATACAGCACAAGATAAAAAGAGTGAAAGGAGAACATCTCTGAAACCAAAACAATGGATGGTGAAACCAAAACCACAGCTATATAACTGAAAATCCCCGTCCCTCATTCATAAACTGCATGTTCTCCCTCTCCCTAACAAAACCGTAACCTTGCTCCACTTAAGCAGAAGCTGCTGAGGAAGAAGCCATAATATAAGCAAGAAAGCACACATAATGGACCACCAGATTCTTGTACTCTTCAAGTCAAATGATGAATCCACTACTTAGACAAAATGTATGAACTCCTCTGCCTCCCTATTTATGAAACAGTTCTCAATGCAGTCCCCTCGTCATGTTTCCTCCCAAACTTTCCGGATGGACCTTGCAACAAGATCAAAATGATTAATAAAGTAGTTTAAAAAGCTAAATAGAGTTGCGTTCTTAGAAGCAGGGGGAATCCAACTATGATGATGTACATGACGAACATGTTTCATACCAGTATGTGTATGCATTAACATATACAAGAACACAACCATTTAACTCACGTAATATGGAGCGGCAACATAATTTAACTGTTTTCCTCCACACCATCCCAGGAGAGTAGCATATGGGTTTTGTTACATGTACCCGGGCGTTTACATGCCCCTCACATGAGGGGCGGGTCCCACGCATTTATTGTGCGCGGGCCCCACCCCCGATGTGAGAGGAGTGTAACCGAGCGTGTAAACGCCCGGGTACAAATAGCATAATTAGTAGCATATTTAGCAGGCTCCCAGGGGAAGAATTGAAGCTTCTGACCTTGGTAGTTACTATTGCTGCATAACAGAATCTGTAGCCTGTGATATTGTCATGTTGAAGAACATGACAAGACCGAATTCCTCTGACAATATTATTGTGCTCGTTGACTCTCTCTCTAATCTTTAAAGCTCATCAGCATCCATTATTCAATCATGTGACTAATCCTTTTTAGAGAAATTTAAGTTGATGAACATATGAGCTATAAGAATTTAAATATGAAAGTTAGAGAAGAAAGAAAATGATAAATGAACTTGGGAATTCTCCATTGTAATCATAAGAATCGAATAAAAATATATACAAAGGAACCAGCCTATTTATATACAGCCTATGACCACGACAGAAGGAATGTTCACCTTTCTATACATAACAAACTCAACCAATAGAAAATTGACAAATACAAAACTGATTAACAAGAAGCTAACAGAAAAAAATAAATAAATAAAATTCCCAAAATAGCCTTCATAATGTAAGCTGAGTCAGGGATCTACGTGAAATCCAATACCCCCCCCCCCCCGGAAGATGGAGAATAGATATCTACTATTCCCATCTTGGAGAGGAGAGTAGTAAGAACAGAAGAAGAGAGAGCCTTAGTGAAGATGTCGGCCAGTTGTGAATGAGTTGGTACATGAGCTGTGATGATACTACCTTCCTGAATTTTGTCTCTAATGAGATGGCAATCAACCTCTATATGTTTAGTACGTTCGTGGAATACTGGATTGGCAGCAATATGCAGAGCTGCTTGATTGTCGCAGTGAAGAATTGCAGCAGACGAATGAGAAATGTGCAGATCTTTTAACAATTGTTTAATCCAAGTAAACTCAGAAACAGTTGTTGCCATTGCCCGATACTCCGCTTCTGCAGATGAGCGAGAAACAATTGATTGTTTCTTGGACTTGCAAGATATAAGAGAGTTGCCCAAGAAAATGCAGAAGCCAGTGATAGAGCGTCGAGTGTCTGGACATGAAGCCCAATCAGAATCACAGTAGCCATTTAATTGCAAAGGGGATGAAGAAGAAAGTAAAATACCCTGGCCAGGACTACCTTTTAGATAATTCAGTACTTTGTGGGCAGCTTGTAGGTGAAGATCAGTTGGCTTAGATATGAACTGACTGAGTACTTGCACCGAATAGCTAATGTCAGGTCTTGTAATAGTTAAATACAATAACCTTCCTACAAGTCTTCTATAAATGCTTGGATCAGAAAGAATACACCTTGATTCTTTGCTAAGCTTGATATTTCGGTCCATGGGAAGTTTAGCTGGCTTGGAACCAAGGGTACCTGAATCTGCTAGTATGTCAAGTGTATACTTCCGTTGACATAAATGAATCCCTTTTATGGATCTTGCCACTTCAATACCAAGGAAATAACGAAGGGCACCAAGATCCTTAATCTTAAACTCAGTATTCAAGAACACTTTGAGAGAATTAATACAATCAATGGAGTTACTAGCAACCACAATATCATCCACATAACCCAATAAGGCAGTAAAAACATCTTCTTTGATCATAGTGAATAAGCTATAATCTGATTTGGACTGTTGAAAACCAAAGTGTATAAGTGAGTCTGAAAATTTGGAGAACCATTGGCGAGATGCCTGCTTAAGGCCATATAAGCTTTTGAGCAGTTTGCACACTTGTTCGGGTTTTCCTTTGTTATAACCAGGGGGTTTACACATAAATTTCCTCTTCTAGCTCCCCATGAAGGAAAGCGTTATTAACATCAAATTGTTGCAAATGCCAGCCATGTATGGCAGCAAGTGCAAGGAGACAGCGAACTGTGACCATTTTGGCTGCTGGAGAAAAAGTTTCGTGATAGTCAATCCCTTCTTGTTGTGTATAGCCCTTGGCCACTAATCTGGCCTTTAACCTTTCAACAGTCCCATCTGAATTAAATTTGGTCTTGTAAACATACTTACACTTTATTGGTTCCTTACCAGGTGGCAGATCAGTTAATTCCCAAGTCTGATTGAGTTCAAAAGCATCCAATTCAGCCTTCATAGCCTCACACCAACCCGGATCCTTAACAGCTTGATGATATGTTTGAGGATCAATTTGAGAGCAAATAGAAGTTGAAAAAGCAGCATAATTGCGAGATAAACGATGATATGATAAGGAATTGGTTAAAGGAAAATTTGTACCTGTATTGGAAGACAATTGCCTGGTCAATGATTGGTCTGGAGAAGTGAAGTGCACTTGTTGACAATGAAAGTCCTGCAGGTACTGTGGTGCTCTTCTAACTCTTGTTGACTTGCGGATAGGTAATTGTTCTTGGGTGATTTCTTCTGTAGTATGAGGTAAATCAGAAGTAGGAGAGGAAGCAACTATCTCAGAAGTTTGAACAGGGCTATTAATGAAGACACGAGTAGAAGGAGGATCTAAAGGTGTTAAGTTTGAAGATTGAGAAGGAGAAAAATCTGAATTAATCTGCTCAACATTAGAAGGAAATGGTTGAGGAGAAAGTTGACAGAAATTATTGTTGTTAGTAGTTTCTGGCGGCAGGTTGTCAAGTGTGATGGTGTGGAAGGGGAAGACTATTTCATGAAAAACAACATCTCGTGAGATGAAAAAGGTCTTGGTATCAAGGTCAAACAACTTGTATCCCTTAACACCAAAAGGATAGCCAAGAAAGACGGATTTTCTAGCTCGGGAATCAAATTTAGTTCTGCCTTGTGAAATAGTTGAAGCAAAACACAAGCAACCAAATACTTTCATGTGACCATAGGTTGGTTTTCTATTGAAAAGTAACTCAAAGGGGGTTTTATTTGACAGCACAGGAGAAGGGATTCTATTGATAATGTAAGCAGCAGTTAAAATGCATTCATTCCAAAACTTCATAGGAAGTGAAGCTTGGAACCTAAGTGCTCTCACAATGTTTAAAAGGTGTTGGTGCTTACGTTCAACAATAGCATTTTGCTGTGGTGTTTCCACACAGCTAGTTTGATGCAAAATACCCCTTTTACAAAAGAAATCTGTCATTTTAAACTCTGCCCCATTATCACTTCTTAAGATTTTGATTTTGACATCAAACTGGTTCTCAACAAGGTTACAAAAAGTCTCTATGCAGTGGCGAGTTTCAGATTTTGTTTTTAGTAAATAGACCCAAGTACTTCGAGAGAAATGATCCACAATAGTAAGAAAGTACTTGGATCCATCATGTGCAGGAACAGAACAAGGCTCCCATATATCACAAGAAATAAGTTGAAAAATTCTGGTGCTCATATGTGTGCTGGTAGGAAAAGGAAGGCGATGTTGTTTAGCCGTGGGACAAATGCAGCAAGGATTTTCATTAATGTCAGTAATTTCAGTACTTACAACAGGATCATCGATCAAAGATATCCTAGACAAAGGTGTATGGCCAAGTCTATAATGCCAAAGATCTATGGAAGAACTATTGTCAAGTACAGAAGTGGAAACAAAGATATTTTTATTTAAATACTTAGAAAAGTTGTCAACAAGAGCTTCAGAAGACACTTTAGCATGCTGCAATTGATAGAGTCCATTCTTCACTTCACCCTTCCCAATCATTGTCCAAGACAAAAGGTCCTGGAGGAAACAGCAATCAGAAAAAAAAATAAGGCAGCAAGTAAGTGAGTGGGCAAGTCTTTTAGCAGAAATCAAGTTAAATGTAAAAGACGGGACACATAAAACATTTTCTAGAACGAGTTTTCCAGTGATATGAACTGTTCCTACGTGTGTGACAAGTGCTTCATCACCATTTGGCATCTTGACAGAATAAGATACTTCTGAATTGATGGTAGTAAACAGGGAGATGCTGCAGACCATGTGGTCTGTAGCACCTGTGTCGATAATCCAAGGTGTTTCGGCAGAGAATAAAAGTCTTTCAGAAGAAGTGGAACAAGAGATAGATATACCGGACATGGTAAGGGCCTTTGCTGCATTAGCTACAGGATGAAAAGCTGTCTTGGATGGATTGGTGGACATAGAAGGCATTATTGGACTGTCCTTTTGCTGCAACAGAGAAAGCAATTGTTGATACTGTCCCTTTGTAAGAACAACTCTTGAATCTGAATCATCCTCTTGATCTGCAATGACAGCATTAGCAAAAAGTCTGGGAGATTTTCCCTTGTTGAAGTACTTATGCCCAGGTGGATACCCATGAAGTTTGTAGCACTTCCCAACTACATGACCACTCATATGGCAATGAGTACAAATTGGTGGCTTGGCATTCCTTGCTTTAAAACATGCCTCTAGATTATGCCCTGGTGCATGACAGTGAGTACAATAAGGACGGTCACGGTTGTTGGGTTGGCCAGTCTTAACACTTGGTTTAGGAATGGGATGAAACTTCCTACTAGCTAAGCCCATCATATTAGGTGATGGTAGGTTGTTAAGCATCAGGTGCTGCATTTCTTGTTGTTGGATCATGGATAAAATTTTCCCAATTGAGGGTAAAGGATCAAGGAGCATAATCTGGTCTCGTGAGTTCGTGTATGAATCATTTAAACCCATCAAGAACTGTATCACACAGTCCCTTTGGTATCTATTAGAAAGTGTAGTTAACTTTCCACAGGTGCAGTCAAGCAAAGGGTCGAACATATTGAGCTCATCCCAAATTGATTTCAACTTCCCATAATAACACTTACTGAATCTTGCTCCTGTTGCAAACTTGAAAGGGCTTTCTTAAGTTGGAAGATTCGTGGACCATTTTGCTGAGTAAACCGCTCCTTCAGTTCATCCCACAGCTCAGCAGCATCATCCACAAGAGCTATGCTAGACTTGATTGATGGGGAGATGGAATTCTGCACCCAGGAGGTCACAAGGTCATTACAACGTTCCCAGGCCTCAAACAAAGGGTCGTCTAAACTAGTTGGCTTGGTGATAGCACCACTGATGAAGCCTAATTTGTTCTTGGCTCTAAGGGCTCTATGCATTGCCCTAGACCAAGTAGTGTAATTGTCAACTGTAAGAAGTTCAGGAACAAGAGAGATCGATGGATTATCACCATGGTCAAGACGGTAAGGATTGGTGACATCGGTGAAATTGAGGAAGGGGTTAGAAATTTTGGATGGAGAAGCAGGGGAAGAATCTGTGGAAGGAATTTCTGTAGTCATGGTTGATTTGGTTCACCTGCTCTGATACGATATAAGAATTTAAATATGAAAGTTAGAGAAGAAAGAAAATGATATATGAACTTGGGAATTCTCCATTGTAATCATAAGAATCGAATAAAAATATATACAAAGGAACCAGCCTATTTATATACAGCCTATGACCACGATAGAAGGAATCTTCACCTTTCTATACATAACAAACTCAACCAATAGAAAATTGACAAATACAAAACTGATTAACAAGAAGCTAACAGAAAAAATAAATAAATAAAATTCCCAAAATAGCCTTCATAATGTAAGCTGAGTCAGGGATCTACGTGAAATCCAATATGAGCAAATGATACAAATTCTGAAAATTGATAAATAAGCTTCTCGAGTTCCTTTAACCCATTCATTTTTAGCAGATGGATTTTGGAATTATTATTTCAGCAAAATAACGATTTCCAATTCAATTCTGGAAACTAGGAACTCAAAGAAAAATCTGAGAAGTTCATAACGTGAAATGAAGAGAATGAACAAAAATAATTTTCTTCATCCTAAATAAACAATAACTGTGACTAAAATGAAAATCATCTAAAAACACACAGCCAATAAACAATCGTGTGAGTGTGTGTGCCACCTATCGAGATAACACCTTGTCTTATATTATGCATCATCAATATAAACATTAGCCCCATGCCCACCCCAAACTTTCGAGAATTCAGGACTAAAGAAATGGAAATTGTATATGCCATGTTATAAATTAACCAATTAATGTATAAAAGTATACAGAGATGCAGAAATCAAGATTTACCAACCTCAGCGATTTGCCCATGGTAATTAAACTAAATGATATCATTTACTTGATCTCACTTTGCCGAAACATCACAATCTTTTAGAGTCTTCGAAAAATGACAATGAGAGCTGCTTAAACACAACCCCAACGTCAAAATAAATCAACCCGGAGCTCGGAATGTCGACCCGGATCCTTTTCACTGGCAGCCAGAGGAAAAGGTCCTGGGCAGCTATTCCAGATAAATTAACAATCTGGCCATAAGCCAATGTACCCGTAATATTGTACTCTTAACGAACCCTGGTCTTGAATTTCGCATCGCAAGGGGAAGGAGACACCAAATGGAGCTCCAAGCGGCCAGAGTCAGGGTCGAATGAAATCATAAATGGAAGATGAAGATGATAATTGGGAATCTGCGGAATCCTGTTTTGCTGCACTTACAGGGGGTTGACAGGTTGACACTGTACACCGGAGTGTAATATTCCCGGCATCCAGATCAGATGTATTTCGTTGTGTTTGGCGCGGGAAGTAGCAAGGCATCTACAATTGTGTAACAAACAAATATCTTGAGATAAAGTTTCAAAAATGGATTTTTATTGGCGATGATTTACATTTGGGACTAAACAAAATGCGTTCAAGGGGTGCAAACACACAAGTACTAAAA